CCCCCCCCTTTTTTTCTTCTTCATTTATTTTTCTTACTTTTTCTTTCATGTTTTATTCAATTTTGCTCCAAATATCTTTATCTCTATATCACTTTTTTTTTTACACAGTTAAAATATAATATTAAGCATAAAGTAATATAATAATATAAGTATTTAACATTATTGAATTGTCCTAAATCATATGAATTTGTCTAGATTTAAGAATCATCCAAAAAGCACCAGAGTTTATGAGGTGTCAACTCCATAAAGTAATTATAATATTTCAAACTCGTTTATTATGAGTAGTTAAAAGTATATGTAATATTTGTTGCAAATTTTAATGATTGAAAGGTTGGATTCTAAACTCCTAGTTCGTGGAATGAATAGTGTTTTGGGAAATGAGGGAGAAGATGAGTAGTATTCATGGAAATAAAATTGAGGAATGCAATGAACTTATTGAGTCAATTGTTAGCTATATTAGAAGGTGGACAACTAAGTATTCACTCAAGTTGAATATTTTGGAAATATTATTAAGGAAGATGATGAATAGTGACTTGGTGGTATTGAAAAATTAATGTAGTATCATTAATGACTCCACTTGAGTATTAAATAGTAAGCATGTGTCATGACCTAAAATCCCACTGAAGGTCGTCATGACACCTAACCTCCAAGACTAGGTAAGCCAACATGCATTATAGATCCAATCAAATGAAATAGGATATAATATAATTGAAATAGCATAAATAACATAATAAATCTTCAACAGTAGATAGCATAAGATATCAAAACATCAAATCCCCAAAACCTGATAGTACCGAGTTATGAGCTCCAAAATGGAATACAAGGAAAACATCTAAATAATACAATAATTGTCTGAAAAAAGATAGGGGAAGGGGACTCCGAAGGTCTGCGGATGATTATGCAGTACTATTTTGAATCCTCTCTGTTAGCTACAAGACTCACTCCTGAAACCATCCATAAAACTTACCTTGTTATGTGGGTTGAAGCCTAGGAGAATTTAGGTTGAGAGTTACCTCAACACTTAGACCATTTTTGGAACCCAAATGAGCTACCACGACTTGGTTTTTAAAGGCCCCAGGTGACTGTCTAGGGTGGCGCCCCGCGGTGCCTAGAGCATTGGCCAAGAAATCACTTCTGGAATGGGCACTACAGGGCGCGCCGCACCCATCTAGGTGCCCAACTTAACTTTCGCACAATCTTCATTAAAAATATCATAACTCCTTGTAGGAATGTTTAAATAACGAATAGGTTGAACCAGTGGAAACTAGACTCAAATAGCTTTAATGTGATAGGTAGAAATCCATATAAATCCTTATAAATTTTAAGTTATGTATGTTTAAAGTTAGGCTTTGTGCGTGCTCCTTTGAAACTTTAGTCTATTTTTCCAACTCGACTAGTCCCAACAGCTCTTCTTAGACCCTATATCGCTTCAAATACACCTCGTACATTTACTATCATGATCATGAGATATCCTTTGTATTATTAATCAACACTTGCACACAAATTAATATAATTAGCACAAGTCGGGCCTCTAATGGCCTTATAACATTTCAAAAAAAATTGGGACACTACATACTCGTTCTTCCACCAAATAAAATACCAGATCAAAATACCTTTTAAAAATTTATAATTTTAGATATCACAATCATAAGAATATTTTTTATTTTAAAAAATAATATACATTTATTTTAGGGTTTTATTTTTAAATAAGTTATTTGAACATGTAGCTTATACTTGCTTCTCTTTGCATAATATAATTGAACATGTAGCCTATGACAATTTTCATAGCTGGGTATTGAATACTTTTATTTAAAAAATGGTTTCTTCAATGTTTTATTACACGTTCAGCTGAAACAACAAAAATGATTCGGAGGGGGGGGGGGGGGGGGGGGAGGGATTTAAGCTTTCTAATACTTTTCTATGAAAATGAAAGGATACTCCTTGTTGCATGTTTGGACATATTGTAGGAAAAAACATGGAACAATTTCTGAGTCTTTCTTTTGCCGTTAACAGTGTGTTCTTGGATGTAAATGATAGTAGTAACTCTTTAGAATTATATAGCGAAAGAAGAGCCTCATTTTATAAGGAAAAAACATGTTGAAAGATCGTTTTAGCTGCAGAAAAATAAAGAACTTAACATAAATTGCTGCCCACTCAAGTGTTTAAGGCGATAAATATATAATATATACATAATTCATGTATAATTATGCATAATCTATGTAATTAAATGGTAAATCCAGGAAGCTGTGTATGTAAAGATAGTATAGACGCATGTTAGGGCCCGTGTAAGCAAGCTTCACCTCACATAGTTTAAAGGTAATTGTTCCCTTTTTTCTTTTCTTTTTTTTTT